TCCATTTTTGCCATATTTGTAACATTTGTTTGCATAACTATTATTCATTATGTAGCCCAAACATGGCTTTATACTTCACTCATGTTCTAATATACGTGTAAAATCCTTCACATGCGCAAAAATGTTTGTTTCGGCGCTGCACGCTGATTTTACAGCGGACCTTTTAAAATAAACAGTGTTACTTTTATGTTTGGTTGACTGCATTTTAGTTTGATGATGAATGGCTGAAATGGCAGGCAACGCTAGAACTAATGTTGTTTGTGTGTGCGTGAGGCGCCTGTACGATCAGATGGATTAAATCAAATAAAAGATATAAAGAAAAGAAATTAAATGCATTAAGAGTGTCACAAAAACGAGCGTAGCCTATACTTGTTGCACAGTGTTTTTTTCCTTTTGTTAATCTGTTAATTATATTAGCCTATTATATATTTTGTGTGCTATTGATTTTATTCCTTTTATAGACTTAATTTCTGTTTTTCTCCTTTCACAGAAGCGCTGCAGGTGCATGATGCGACGATTGAATCCTCATGGTCTGTGGTTTACGCTGCTATTCACGCATATAAAGCTAAAGCCCTGTATAAAAACCAAAAAAAAAAACGCAATTCCAATTTCCCTGTACAAAACAACAACAAAAAAGACATTCTAATCTTACTGGTTAACGATCGACTAATGAGCTTCGTTTGATGGTCAGGAAAGTCAAAATTAACAAAATGCTGTCATTCTACAATTCTCCACCGTATTTACTATGCTGCGCGCAACTTCAGGTAACTCAAAAACTTGCGTACACGAGCTGAGACCAGACGTGAGATTTGATCGTAGCCACCACTCACGTCCATATTGATAAATTCCAAGTTTTGCGTTGAAACGACCGTACACCCAGTTTTCTGTCATACGTTTGTTTCGTAAATGAGGCCCATTGTGTTTTCTTTCACTTTGACGAATAGAAAGTTAGAAAGAACAGAATTTATTTGAAATAGTAACATTATACATGTCTTTCCTGTCACTTTTGATCAATTTAATGCATACTCGTTGAATAAAAGTATTAATTTCTTTAAAATCCCAAACTTTTGAATGGTACATATACACACAATTTAATGATAGAAAATGACACACAAAAATATTCAACTATTTTATACAGTATTTCCTCAATATTCTATACAAATCAAACGACAGCATAAACTTACGTTATCATCATTTTGGTGCATCCTTGGGTCTATAAACATTTTCTATGCTCATGTACTACTGTGCTCCAAACCAATACAAAATGTCAGCGGATCAGGGATATTTCTAGGTTTACAATGTCTTCGGTATGGCATGACTGCCAATATTCACGTCTGTGTAGAGTACATTAAAGCATGCATTATGCTCAGTGGTCAACTATTTACATTTACACATTTAGCGGATGCTTTTATCCAAAGTGACTTGAAAAATATGAACAAAGCAATTCATCAAAGAACAAAGCATTTTGTCAGTCTATAAAGTCCTGTGTTTGATGTTAACACACTACTCTCAAAATATCAGTCGAAATTACACCACTATACAAAATACAGGCATCAAGATCAGTATCGGAGAGTACAAAAATGAAAGCAGCAGCAATACTCAGCCTCTAAAAAATAATAAAAGTACATTATATCACTACACTCCAGCATGAGATACAGTACGTAATTCAACATCCACTAAAGGAGACTAACAGAGCAACAAACCCACAGTAAACTCATTCCTAAAAAGCCCTTCTGATATAAAAGACACAGAGGTCTGGAGGGAGGGAGTGACCTGAAAAGGATTTGAGGGAAATCGAGGTCCTGTTATTATGTTGTGATTAGAGGAAAAAGTGGATCAAAAAAAGCTTTGGCCTAAAACATCATGAAGGTCAGAAGTGGATCCCAATAGGCTTTAAAGATCAACTGAACTGAACTTATAAAAATGACTGACAGCCAAAAGCAGCCCAGACTGAACAAAGGGGCAGTGTAACCTCGAAACAAACATTATAAAACGACATCAACCATATGTCCAAACTTAAACTCATCATGGGTAAAACTAGGTCAGCGCTGTTTACTCTAAACACAGTATTACGGGGAAAAAAAACTCACACAAGGGAATTTGGGATTGTCTTGACCTACATCTATGCCATTTATACAACCAATGAAAAATCGCATCCTGTGTTCGAGTTTGAATAGAGCTTGAGTTTAGAAACAACAGACATATTTTCTAAAATTCACATCTTATCAGATATATCAAGTGTTAATTCCGATCTGTGTTACCTTGCGTCCATCGCTGGCATGACAGTTGACATTAAGTGGGGTCAAAAGTGCCATCAACTTTTCCTCATTTCCGCTCCTAACAAGGTTTTCCAAACAGAGGGAGACAAACACTGTTAGGAACAACAACTTAGAGAAAAGACATTTCTGGATCAGTGACAGTCAAAAAAGATTCCAATGTACTTAAAGAAATAGCAATAGCTTTTAAAATATAAGAAACTTACCATGTAAACTTAATGTAAGGTTCGATATAAAACCTTCCTTTAGACCAGGGCTGTCCAAACTCGGTCCTGGAGGGCCGGTATCCTGCAGAGTTTAGCTCCAACCCTAATTAAACACACCTGAACCAGCTAATCAAGCTCTTACTAGGCATAGAAACTTCCAGTCAGGTGTGTTGAGGCAAGTTGGAGCTAAACTCTGCAGGACACCGGCCCTCCAGGACCGAGTTTGGACAGGCCTGCTTTAGACTCTATTTATTGAAACCTCTATTTATTGCTAGCAGCAATAAATGGGACTGCTTTGTGAGCAGCTATTAAAGGATGGTGCAGCAGTGGCAACTATATTGGACTACACTGTTACTCAGATGTAAATTTTATTCAGAGTTGCATACTTATCAAAAATATGTAATTTGGTGCAGCTGCAGATATTTATATGGCCAAAAAGCCAGATGAAATTCTGATAGCTTGCAATGTAAATCAATGAGATCTTCATAACAATATAGCAAATAGCTTACATAAAATGCATATAAATGTCAGTCGTCACACTGTATCTCCCAATAATATGTCATTGTAAGATGATATTTAAATGTTTCGTTTTATGCAACAAACTCTGTCATTTTTATTGTGGGGCAAAACATGTAATGCGATGCAATACAATGAAGACTGAAAAATTAACAAATTCCTCAAAAGTCTATTGATCATAATTGATACTCACATTTTAACATGATTTTTCCAAAGAATTGATGAATGGATAATCAAGTAAACCTAAGTTGGTTCAGTCCAGTAAGTGTTCATCTTGAAATATTACTAACAGTATAAAAGTTATTCTTACATTTACTTTATAAAATACTTATCCTGTCCAATAAACATTTATATACCATGCGGCAAACATGTCTCATTCTGATATTCTTGGATTTCCGTTCCGACATCAGAGTTTTCTAAACATGAACATACAACTGTGCCAGGTTGTGTGTAGCACCTTCAGCTCTGCACATTCATCCCAACATTCTTCTCAAAGGACTCCAACATAAGAAACAAGAGGCTGAGGGATTCAAACAACCATCCATACCGCCCCCTCAAAGTTACTTCAGTGTTTATCTTAGTAATACATTGATATTAAATTATTATATTGCACCAAAAACTCACCTCGCCGCCTCCAACAGTTCATCCTTCTTATATTCACCTGATAAATAAAATCAGACAGCAGGTGTCAGACAGACTTGATTTGCGAGATTCATTAATGTGGGTATGTGGATGTTTTTAGCATTACAATGGTCAAACTACAATACTAGCATACTTCATGCAGTACATACCTTATTCAATTAGTATGTGAAATGAAACGCAGGATGCAACGTTTCAAACAGAAGGCTGTTACATTAACCTCACATTTAATTTGGTGAGTGGCATCGAGTTGGCATTTCAATCCAAATTTGTGTGCATATGTTTAAACATGTATCTGTCCGACCAATTAATATACTGTGGAAACGTGGCTGTAAATGGCCTTCGGTTAATTTTTCAAACTGGAGAATAGTGCATTGTGGTAAACAGCACTCGCACAGCATGCTCTTGCTATATTGGCATACTGCATACTACAAAAACATACTCAGTGCTCATGAGACTGTGTGTTGTTAATGACTGTAAAGCAGATGTGTGTATGTGTATGTCTCACCGGTGAGGACGGTCTTAGCAGAAGGGTCTGCCAGGTCCAGAGCTGATTTGCCGTCAGTGTTTCTGATATTCGGATCAGCGCCGTGCTGGAGCAACACTGTAACAAACAGAACCAAGCAATACAGTCACCGATACTGAAACTGACAATGTTTTATGTTGTGGTCGATAAGTATAATTATCAACACTCTTTTTCCACCTAAAGTGTTCATACTAGCTCTGCAGTTTTAGTACAGTCAGCCATTGAAACACATGCACAGCAGAAAAGATGGATAACTGTTTATATAGTGCATTAACCAATGTTAACAGATACATTTAATTTTAAATGTTGAAATTAACAAATTAACTAAGATGAACAAATGCTGTAGAACTATTGTTCATTATTCGTTCATGTTTACTAGTGTCATTAACTTATGTTATCATATACCTATAATAACCTATAACCTAACTATATTATAAAGTTTTCATATTTTTATTTTCCAGCATCAGCATATTATCAAACTAATCAGTTCAAAATGACAATATTGAATATTGATATTTTCACCAATATATTGCACATCCCTAACAGTCACTCGCCAAATATCTCTAAAGAAATAGTTTTACACAAAACAATTACAATTTTCAAGACATTTTCCAAAACATTTTTAAACCGGTTTGAAATTCTTTCTTCATTAAACACAAAACGAGATGTTTAGCAGAATGTTTATGATAGTCACAAAAAGCATCATTCTACATCAGCTGTCATTAGTTATCTAAGTAAAATGGTCCTGCAGCATGACACATTTTTAAGTGTGAATAATCCATACAGTCTTTCAATTAATATGAGATCATGAAAACTGCATGCTTATGATTACTAATGCTGAAAACCTCTTGTTATGTGGAGGTGTCACACCATCGGACTGAACATGGGCAATGTTTATGTGGAACGACATCTGTTTAATTAATAGCAGGGGCTAAAACATATCAACTTAAATTTTTAAGCTTATAAAGATCTTATTTACTTGTTTTTTGGGCTCCTGGTTTATATAAAAATACAAATACATATTTTTAAAGAATTCTGATAAAATTGGTTTCCAATATCAGACTAATCAGTACAATGCCACAAAAAATTATAATAATAATAATATTGACCAATAATGATATCATATCACCAATATATTGCACATCCCTAACAGTAACTCTCCACACTCGCCAAATAACTCTGAAGAAATAGTTTTAAACAAAGTAACACACCGTACTCAGACAAACCTATTCATCATGTTAATAATGCAAACATCAGAGATTCTGTCAGTTTTCTCACTCACACACAGAGTGCCGTCTCAGCACAGGGGTATTCAGCAGCGCTCTATGACAAATACTGCAGAACAACAACATTACTATCACAACACAGCAATACTGCAGCATGCTGGACCACCACATCAGCTCTCTAGACAACTGCTGCAACTCCACACAATGTTGACTGGGACTCATTAGACCGGATTCATTGCCTTTCTGCTAGGTAGGGGTGGGCGATATAGCCTCTAAATTATATCACGATATTTCAAGAATATTTGCGATAATGATATTTATGATGATATAGAAAAAAATATGGAACAATGTTTTATTGGTGATTGCAGCTTGCAGGCAGCAGCATTTATTAGTGCAAACAAAATGAAGGGCATTTTTCATCCTTTTCCAATGAGCTACTGTCATCGATGACAGACTACCTAATTCGAAGTGTAAATCTATTGTCATAAGTTGTGTGTTCAACTTGAAGCAGACCGATCGGTGTATGACGTCAAAATACCGGGAGAGTGACTTACCCCTTATTTACAATGCACGCGTCTGCGGCGCGTTACGGCTCTGACACGGCCACTCTAGTCAATGCTTGTGTTTACACTCTCCACGCCACTTCGCTAAAGATAGGTGCCTCGACTATTTTCTGCTTCAAGTCAAACACACCTATTGGGTTTGTGGTGTTGTTGTTGTGCGCGCCAAGGAACGTAAATGCGCCATACGTCATTGCGTTGCTATATCATTGATATCGCGATATGACACTTTTTTTTATCATGTAAAAATTTATACCGGTATTATCGTGGACGGTATGATATGGCACATCCCTACTGCTAGGGATGAACGATATATCAGAGACCATCAGAATTAGTCTTAGAGCTGTTTTAATGATCAGAACTGGTCTGATTGGACTACAACTGGAAACAGATGAAATGAAAAAATTTCTCAATTTAATCCATACCAATGCACACGTCTATTTTGCCCTTGATGGCGGCCTCGTGCAGAGGTGTGTAGTTCCAGTTGTCTCGTGCGTTGGGGTCAGCACCGCTACACAGCAGCAGACTGACCACCTCCGCGTGCCCGAACGAGCAGGCGTTATGAAGCGGGATCAGACCGCCATCGTCACGGGAATGGACGTTTGCTCCGGTCTGCAGGAGATGCTCCACCACGTCCTTTCTGCCAAAGCCTGACAAACATTACATAGGACAAATGGGTTAAAATGCAATGAATCTAATGTGATGAAACGAATAAAAAAAATGACATATCAGATCTTATTACACCTAATGAGTCTAGGTTAAAAATTATTTATGTGTGTTTTTTTTAATGCTGCAACCATCTCAGCTCTTTTCTGTACCAAAAAACTACATTTTTTTTACAATTACAAACCGGTTGACTTTCTTCATTAAACACAAAACAAGATATGTTAATAATAATACTTACAAAACACATCATTCTGAGTGACCTACTGCTTTATGATTTTTTAAATCAACTTTAATACCTAGCCACCGTTATGTAATCATTTAAAAGGCCCTGCAACGTGACAGATACATTTTAAGTGCAAATAAATCCATATAGTCTCCCAATCATTATGAGATCATGAAAACTGCATGCTTATGCTTACTAATGCTGAAAATCTCTCATTATGCAGAGATTCCACACTGTAGGACTGAGCATTGATGGCTAATGTTTATTTGGAATGATGTCCATGTAATTAACAACAGGAGACAAAATGTAATAACTTTTTAAGCTTATAAACGGCTTAATTTAATTTTCTTTGGACTCCTGGTTAGCAAATTTTCAGGTCTATCCAATTAGAAATGAATTTAGTCAGTTCATATGACTCACAAAATGCACAGACTTCGATTTCTACGGTTTGAAAAACACCCTAATTAGATAATACCTACATATTTGATTAGTTTTCCTGTCCACAATGTTCTTGTTAACCCGCAAGACAATTTTCGCCTTACACTAGAAATAATTCATGAAATTTAAACAGTTTGTATAGATATTATATGGAAATTTAGTACTGTACAATTAGGTGTCAGTTTTGCATGAAATATCATATTCAACTCATGTAGATTTGGATCAAATGACACGATGTAATATTACAACAAACGCTTCCTTGAGCCCTGGAAAGGCGCTATATAAATAAAACTTATTATTATTATGCCATGACACATAACCACTGTGAACAGTCAACTTACAATACATAATTTTTGTATGAAAACAACACACTCTATACATAAAAATATATGTATACTTCAATTGAAAAATCTCATGCTTGTATAAATAAACTCCAAATCTAGTGGAACCAAAATCCACAAAGGTTACGTTTTGTTCTTTTATAAGGTCAAAAACAAAGCAAAATGCTCACAGACGCGCATTATGTTTAGCAAATACATAAATACAGACCTGCAGCGAAATGCAGAGGGGTTGATTTTCGTCCGGCCATGTCTTTGGCGTTCACATTCACCGAGTCTACCAGCCTCTTCACCCGCGACACATCTCCGTTCCGACAGGCCTCGAATAGCTCTCTGAACGCCCCGCCGGCCCCGCACACTCCGTCCCCGGGACTGTCCGCTCCTGAGCCGGGGCTCTGGCTGCCTGCGGTCGCGCTGGAACTAATGCTGCTGCAGCTGGAGCTGCCGAGGGCTGACGAGGCTGCGGCGGCCGCTGCTGCTGCTGAGGCGGGCCGGTCTGGGGAAGAGGCGGAGGCGGAGGAGGAGGAGGAGGAGGAGGCCGCTGCGGACTCCATCGTCGCTCCGCCGCATTCCGCTGCACCAGTGGCCGAAGGGCTCAATAAACTCGTCGATTCGGGAATAATCGCGGACGGCGATTCGGGTGGGGGGGATGCGATCACAGCGTTCCGCGGAGACGGCTGCAAGCTGCTTTGTTGGTGCTGTGAGGATCGACGGGACACCGCCATTTTCCCCACGAAGCTCCGTCTGTCAACAATAACAGCTGGAGCCGCTGCGCTTCCGCTCAGTGCGAGAAGGCTTCCGGTTGGAGGCTTGCGGTACTAATTTTGTTAAATATTTCATTTTCTTTTACTCCACATTTAAATTGATTGTAATGTCATTAAAGTATGACACACAACTTCACATATATGAAATTATAGTGACCGTGAAGGAATACTATCTATCTATCTATCTATCTATCTATCTCTATCTATCTATCTATCTATCTATCTATCTAAATATATCTATCTATCTATCTATCTGTTTATCTATCTATCTATATCTATCTATATCTATCTATCTATCTATCTATCTATCTATCTGTCTGTCTATCTATCTATCTATATATATATATATATCTATCTTTTATTTTAGTATCATTGAGATTTTTTTGAGATTTTGAATTAAAGTTAGCAGTTTTGTTGAGTTTTGTCATTTGTTTTTTTAATTACATCTATAGTTTTTTTTTTACTAATTTTTATTACAGATTTAGTTATTAACTAAGTTAAATTAAATTAAACTAATTAATATCTATCTATCGATCAGTTGGTTGGTCTGCTTATTTTAGTATCATTGAAATACTCTTAGTTTTTTGATATTTTGAATTACATTGTTAGCAGTTTTGTTGTGTTTTTGTCATATTTATTAGTTATTGTTTTTTTGTTTTTTGTTTTTTTAATACGTCTACATATATTTTTTATTAGTTATTTCAGTTTTACTTATTGACTTGTTACACTAAATGAACATGAGAAATATTGCTTTGACCAGGTGTCTGACTTAACATTGAAACTGAAAACAATGTTACACCCAAAAGTTTGGCCCAGGGTGAAATGATCTGCTCCTGCACCTCTTTATATGACACACCTCTTTGTGGATATTCAAACTGTTCAAACTGGTATATGGGGCCCTGTTGCTATGGAAACAACAACAGAAACCTCCACTGGCACGATATGACTAGGGCCAGCAGGGTTGTTTGAGACATTTTAACAACACATATATTAGCTCAGGGCCTGCTTGTGCTCTGTTGGTTGTTTTGTGGATAAAAGAACTTAAAGATTGTGTATGTTTTAGTGCATTGTGTTGTTAGATGGAGAGATGTCTGGTTCCTCTCATGCTACAGAGATGGATGGGAATCAAGATTCCTATCTGAAGAGGTGAGTTAAGCATATATACACATTTCTAATACATTAAACAGAACTAGTTTTTGTGTCCTGTGGCTCAGTGGTAGAGTGTTGTGTTAGCAGTGCAAAAGGTCGTGGGTTCGATTCCCAGGGAACACACATACTGGTAAAAAAGGTATAGCCTGAATGCACTGTAAGTCACTTTGGATAAAAGCGTCTGCTAAATGCATAAATTATTATTATTAAATATATGGCAGACTGGTTGGTATCTGTAAATGAAAGTTGGGTCGCTATATGTTATAAATTATATAATTTGAGTATCCATTGCAGGTATTACAGAACACTTCCAGAGGAGAAAAGATTGATGCTTGAAAAGTCTTTGATGGTATGTTGCATACATTAAAGGAATAGTTCACACAGAAAAATTAAGTTGTTTTTATTTGAATTGAATGAAAGTAGAAATGAACTGAGACTGTCAAGTTGAGTTGTTTGGGCAACTTTTATTAAAGTTTTTTCATTTTTGGAGCGCTTAGGAAGAATAAATGATGATATTTTCATTTTTGGATGTACTATTCTGATCAAATTTTAAAAAATAGTTATTGCAAATTATTTGAGACATTATAATGACCATGTCTTCTTCATTCAGAATGCAAATAATGACCAAGCGCACATCAGTGGTCTAAGGAAAGGGCAAGCTGGTGGTTCCAGACAAGGTAAGCTGTCCAAAACATATTGAGATTCAAATAAATAAAAAATCCAACATTTATTGATCAGATGTGTGTAATGTTTATGTATGTTTGTGTGTGTGCAGTTCCTGATCCAAAAATAGATGCTGAAGATAATGGATGCAAAGAATCCAAAAACTCCTCCTCATGCATTGTGTTATAACATTGCTTATCATACATAAACATATTCAGAATTATCTCACTGATAAACACTTGCCAGTCATAATCATTTCAGTAGATTGAACTTATTGAAAAATGCCATATTTTGTATTAGCAGTATTATTTTTATTCCTTAACCTTGTTTAGTTCAAATATGTTTTTTCCCTCTATTTATTAAAACATAATGTTACAATTGATGATTAAATTTGCATTACCTACTGGGATATTTTCAATTGCATTAACCAACACTCTGTCTATAACATAATAATAAATATTATGTATGGAAAAACAAGTCTGGATCTATATTGGCTAATTCAAAGCAATACTAAATTAGTGTTTTCTCAATCTCTGTGCAACAGCACTAACAGATTCAGTGTAGACCACAGTCTGTATACTGAAATATGGTGCTTGTTTCAGATCAGCACACAATTTTACCCATAGTGCCTTTTGCATTTTTGACTTTTCACACAGAGAAAGTGTGAAAATACAGAGAAAATATGAGCAAATGCTTCAGTTTAGTGTGTTGTAAAACACAGCTAGACAGCAACACCTCTAACACAGATGTGAAGATAATAAAAATGTAAAGTGAACATACTGCAGCTTCAATGTTTAGCCTGCTCTGAACAGCTAAGATCAAATAAAAGATCAAATGCTTGTAATCAGTTTTACTGTTTGCTGAAGTATACACAGATGTGACAGACCTGATCTCAAGTGAAAAAAACAAAAACAAATGGTCAGTAGTTACAACATACTGACATTTTACAGGGTTCCCATACCTTTTGAGAGGCATTTCCATAAATTCTCAAAAAACTTTTTGCATAAAATTTAGCATACTGCTATCACAATGAACAACTTTTAGGTAAATAATTTATGAGCATACATTTTAAAAAATATATAGTTTTATTCCTCAACATTGTTTATTTGTGGTATGTTTTTTTTATTTTTTATATTTTACTATATTTAATAAGAAATTTTTTGACAATTAATGATAAAACTGAAATCTGCATTACCCACTGGGATATTTTTATTGTATTAAAGGGGTCATATGATACGATTAAAATTTTTCCTTTCTCTTTGAAGTGTTACAAGCTCTTGGTGCATAAAGAAGATCTGTAAAGCTGCAAAGACTAAAGTCTCAAATCCAAAGAGATATTCTTTATAAAAGTTAAGAGTCAGCCACACCTACCTAAAATGGCTCGTTCTAACACGCCCCCACATGTCTACCTCACTATGTGGGAAGATTTGCATAACGCCGCCCAAATGTTCACGCAAGGAAAGAAGGCGTAACTTTTATTCTCGCTGTAGTATTGTTGCCGCTGCCGCCATGTCGTGAAGACGCTGTGTGATTCGTTGTGAAAGCGAAACTACTTTGTTTGGTCTTCCAACAGAGGACGATATCTGCTTCGTCATGCCTAGAGCTGATCCGTGCTGGTCGCTGAGGAAATACTACAACTTCGCGCTGTGGATCGCCAGATTGGCTTTCACCGTGGACAAAGCAGAGTCCAGCCCGGGGTCGTAACATGTGGTTGCCGCAAGCCCTCCGGCTGTTCCTCACTCTAGCCCCCCGCCTCTGCTCACTCTAGGCCGCCGCCGCTCACTCTAGGCCGCCGTGTGTGACGCTGTGTTTCGTTGTGAAAGCGAAACTACTTTGTCAACATCATATGACCCCTTTAACCAACACTGCCTCATTTCAGAAGTTAGAAAAAAACAGAAACTAGAAAAAAATAACAAGAAAAATGTTGACAATAGAAATTTATTTTGAAGATTTCACTTTTTCCCAAAACAAATCAGAATTTATCCCTCATATTTCCAGGTTTTCATGGCTGTGGCAACCTTGAGTTTAATAAAATAAGTGTATTTTGTCAGGAACTAATCACAATACTAGACATACGTATGTGACAAGAAACAAATGTTAAAAAAAGCACAAAAGTTTATTTGCTCTGAGAAATAAATTATCATATACCAAACTCAATATTAACCCCAATCATGCATTTATAATTTTGTCCTTTTTAAACATTTAAAATTTTAAAAATGGACTCTCAAATAAATCGCAAAAGCCTTTTCACCCAATTAATATTCCGGCAAATAAAACTCTTCACAGAAAAGCAGTGCAGCTCATAAGAAACTGGGATCTATAGCATTTGCAATGCATATTTATTTATATTTATGCCCCATTTATAAATATCTTTAAACCGTATTTTAGCAGCAGTGGTATGAGTAGACCCTCCTGTACTTTTGTCAACAAGTCGCCATATTTCCAGTGACTGGTGAATGAGAAGATCTGTGATCATTGGAGTTTGTATTCAGTCACTGCTGTCGTCACCCACCACCATGTGGCTGTACTTCTTCTGCTGTTGCTCCTTAAACGAATCCTTCACCTTTGCCCTCTTCAGACCTCCATCCCTGTGAGACATACAAAGTAATAAACCTTTAACTTAAATTCAATCACTGTAGCAAGACAGCTGAAGACAAACCCATTTACACACCAGGCCAAGTCCACTAAACCTCCTTGTTGTGCAACGGTTGATTTCACCCTGTTGGCAAACTGCACAGCATCCTCTCCTTCCTGTGCACACAGGAAATGAGTCAGTGAGGGCGTAATCAATCACATCAACATTGTGCTACAAAAAGCTACAGCTATTTTACACTTTACAGCTTGAGCTCTCACCTTCTGCGTCATTGGAGGCAGATACCAGACGTTGCAGACTATGGCCCAGCTCGTCATCATCCGCAGCAGATAGCTCACCATGCTATATTTACTGCTGTTCCAGAAAGCATCTCCAAACTGAGGGTCATACTACATATAACACACACACAGACACTGCATGAGGGTCATAGTAGGTCAGTATACAAACACACACACGCTATGAAGATCATTGCAACATGGGACCAAAACACAGTACTCTGTATATTACTGATTTATTTTAAATTGTATGTTATTTAATGATAATTATTGTATTAATTTTATTTATTTTTATTAATTATCAATTTAAACAGTTGCTACAGGAAATATTTTTAGAAGAATTATATGTCGAAAATAATTTAAAGGATATATTACAATTAAAATATAGTGTAATATTACACACACACACACACACACACACTATTGGCCAAAGGTTTGGAGTAATTCAGATTTTTTAATGTTTTTTAAAATTTTGAAGTCTCTTATGCTCACCAAAGCTGCATTTATTTGATCAAAAATATAGTAAAAACTGTAATATTGTGAAATATTATTAGAATTTCAAATAATTTGTTTTCTATTTGAATATATTTTAAGATGTAATTTATTGTTGTGATCAGAGCTGGATTTTCAGCATCATTGCTCCAGTCTTCAGTGTCACATGATCTTCAGAAATCAGTATAATATGCTGATTTGCTGCTCAAGAAACATTTCTTAATTTAATCAATGTTGAAAACAATTTTGTAGAAACTACAATACCCTACCATTCAAAAGTGTTGGGTAATTTATTTATTTATTTAAGTAATTTATACTTTTATTCAGCAAGGATGCAATAAATTGATTAAAAGTGAGAATAAAGACACTTATTCTGTTACAAAAAAAATTATATCTATATATATAATTATATCTTATCTTTCTATTCATCAACAAATCTTGAAAAATGTGTCATGGTTTCCAGAAAAATATTTAGCATCAACACTGATGATAATTGATAATCAACGAGTAACCATTATTAATAACTGAGCACCAATTAGAGAAAATCTGCATATTAGAATGATGAGTGAAGGAGCATTGAATAAATTACATTATAAAATATATTAAATTTAAATCAAATATTTTAAATGGAAATAATATTTTAAAATATTACTACTGTATTTTTACTGTAAACATTATCTTAACATTTCTCTAAAACTATCAAAATATAATATTTTTAATATTAATCTTTAGATTTAATTTTGATTACATTTACAGGCAGATTAGTACTGAAATTGAAAATGAGGGATCAATTCTAGATTTTCTCAAAAAAAAGCATACTGAAAACTTGATATATTCTTTTTTATTCTAGATTCAAATATAGTGTTGGTGAATGGCAAACAGATGATATTCAGGCAAAAAAAATATATATTTTAACATTTTTCTTGCATTACAAACTGAACAGAGTTAAACCTACCATGTAAACTGACTAAGTTTTAACTGGCGTCTTAAAATATGTTATTGAAATGGCAAATATTTTTGGAAATTCTCATTCAAGTAGACTGTCAAGCTGTACTGACATGATGGTAAAATAGCTGCTTGGGGTGCTATCGAAATAGCCTTCAACTAAACTTACATGCTTTACAATGGCATATAAGGATGGCAGCAACACTTTATTTTTAGGAACAATTCTCACTATATCTAGTTGTTTATTATCATGCATCCATACCTAAACTTTACAATTACCTTACTAACTACTAATAAGCTGCAAATTAGGAGTTTACTGAGGCAAAAGTCATAGTTAATAGTGAGAACTGGACCTTAAACTAAAGTGTGGCCAGGACAGCCTTAAGGAAACAGACTGTAAACCACACTATAGCGTTGCAGAAATCATCTGTGCATGAAATGATATTAAACTAACATAACTATGTATGTAACATGATATACTCTTAAAATATTCCAAAATAAATAGATTAATTGTATATGAATATTAATATTATTGAAAAACATACTGAAAGACAAAGTTTCAGTATTTTCGCTCTATTTTCTACATGATGAATAACAAAAATTTCTATGAGATAAATCATTTTTTGTAAAAAAAAATAAAATAAATCTAACAAACAGAACAAAACAATTTAAGTAGTCAAATATGGCTCTTAAAATATCCCCCAAATAAATATATTAATTTTTATGATGAATAACATAAAACATTATACTGGTTAAAAAAATTAATAAAATACAAAACAAAAAAAATTTAAGCATTCAAATATGACTTGCAGGAGCAATATGAAATGCCCAAAATACAAACTGTGTCTCTCCAAACCTATATGATGTTTTCATCCATTAAACACAAAAATGAGAAGTCGGCGACTGTAAACGGTGACTCTAACCTTAATTCCAAAAAGCACATAATGTACCATCAAAGTAGTCTATATGATTTATGTATGCCATTCCTAATGTTCTGAAATTATTTGATTGCTTAATGTGAAAAACAGATTGCAATTTAAGTCAAAATCGTATCAAGTAAAGCTGCAGAGCTGAGCACAACATACAAATAAAAGAGAAGATAAAGGTGCGTACTAACCTTACAAACCTGTATGGAAGTGCAAATACCAAGATTTGAGAACCACTGCACTGAAGTGTTATTTCGGTCTCACTCACCATTGCATAACAGCCGTCATTAGCCAGAATAACGACATCAATTGGCGAAGTGTGATTAGCTACACAAATGCCTCCTCTCTTAGGCCTGTTCTGTCTGAAAAAAGAATTAGCATTGCACAATTAGACTCATTTAACACACAATTTACACATTTAACACAGATGTTTGTTAGTAAGCCTCCTGCGTAGAAATTCAGCTCCAGTGTCTGTACAAGTCTAAACCAGATTATTGTTACTTGATTAGACCGGTTGTTGTTGTTAAATGGAGCCTTGAACTCACTTGTTGTGGTAGTGAATCGTAGCTGAAAGGCCTCTTGCACAGATCCTGTAGCACATCAAGTGGGCCAGTTCACTCAACCAACCCTTCACTCTGAAACAATAAAGGACTGTAATTAATATGATTAGGATTAAACAAATCAATAAATGGATTAAACATTATTATGAGATTATAACTGTTAAAATGGTTGAAGTGCATTTTTCATCATTCTGCATTCATGTTTTCCATTTATGGGAAAAGTCGTGGCCTAATGGTTAGAAAGTCGGACTCGTAACCCAAAGGTTGCGGGTTCGAGTCTCGTACCGGCAGGGAATGTAGGTGGGGATACCACGACTGAGGTGAGCAAGGCACCCTTGAGCAAGGCACTGAACCCCCAACTGCTCCCCGGGCGCCGCAGCATAAATGTCTGCCCACTGCTCCGGGTGTGTGTTCACGGTGTGTGTGTGTTCACTGCTGTGTGTGTGCACTTTGGATGGGTTAAATGCAGAGCACTAATTCCAAGTATGGGTCACCATACTTGGCAACATGTCACGTCACTTTCACTTTACATACAAATAAAGGGCTTTTCTTTGCTAAAGCTTACATCTCTTTTACTTAACTTACTTTAACTTAATTGTTACTAGAAATAAAACTGTTATAACATGCAATTAGCCATAACTGGCATCATGTTTGTATGATACCTAAAATTATATCTATTTGGAAAAACTGGGATTTTGTGTGTGTGTTTGTGTGTAAATCATTTATATCAATGCAGATTTAATAATCCACTTCTCAGCTTATTTCTCAGCTCATTATGTTAACCAGTAAAAAATTAGTGAGTGAAAGTTCATTAAGTAGCATGGTCATTGCCGATTATTGATGGTCTTGTTGGTTTAGACATATGGGCAGGCCAGATGCTTTGGTTCGGAAGCCTAGTGTAGACCAACCAGCACTTGTGTCCATAACATAATATATGCTCCTGCTCAGCAGTCCTGGGGCCCGTTCTTCGTACGTCGCTAACTCAGTTAGCTGGATTTGACTGTTGATGATTTGGCCTGATCTTGGATTGTCATTTCATCTCGGATGTAATAAGCGATGTACGAAGAACGGGCCCCTGGTCTCTTCAAGTATGGAGAAAGAGCAACTGGAATTGCTGTGCAATCATGAATTATTCATGCATTTGTAAAGCTGATAACATCACTAAAGCATTACCTGAAATTGGGGAGGAAACCCACCATCGTTGTGCCAATCACCAGCCAGCTCAGCCCTATAGCTGTAAGTGTAATCCTATAGACATGACAATAACAGAAGGACAGGTGCATGATTTTCAGTGAAAAACATTACCATTTTTATTTTTAGAATCCAAATAATGACTTTTTCAAGAACAAAGCACTGAATCTCACTAATATACTAATGTACCTTTCAAATGTTTTTAAATTAAGTCTCCTATGTTCACCAAGGCTGCATTTATTTGATCAAAAATACAGTAAAAACTGTAATTTTGCTAATTATTATTAGGATTTATAATAACTGTTTTCTATTTGAATATGTATTAAAATGTAATTTATTCCAGTCATGCAAAGCTGAATTTTCAGCATCATTACTCCAGTCTTCAGTGTCACATGATCTTCAGAAATCATTCGCCGATTTGCCGTTAAAAAAACATTTCTTATTATTGTCAATGTTGAAAACAGTTGTGATGCTTAAGATTTTTGTGGAAACCGTGATGCAGGATTCTTTGATGAATAAAAAGCTCAAAAGCACAGCATTTATTCAAAATAGAAACAACAACATAACAAAAATTTTTACTGTCACGCTGATTTGCTGCTCAAGAAATATTTCTTATTATCATCAGTGTTGAAAACAGTTGTGCCGCTTAATATTTTTGTGGAAACCGTAATACATTTTTCAGGATTCTTTGATGAATAGAAAAAAAAAACAGCATTTATTTGAAATAGAAAACTTTTGTAACATTCTAAAGATCTTTACTGTCACTTTTGATCAATTTAATGCACTCTTGCTGAATAAAAGTAAAAATCTTGCTGACCCCAAACTTTTGAACAGTAGTGTTAGGTGGGGCAGATTCTGGGTCGTAGCACTATATGAAAAACATTTTGTAAACTTTATATCCTAATCTCTGAACACATGCGGACAAAATGTTGGCAGAGATGTGTTATCCTGTGGGTGGCGCGCTAATGTTGATTGACAGGCTCGGAGAACACGCATAAAATGCTGTATTATAATTGCCTTAATATAGTATTTATCACCTCCAAATGTTGATTTATAATGTTACAAGTTGTGGAGCAACTTGGTTGAGGAAAGACGATCATATGTCTATTCTCAGAATAATAAACAAAAAAAACACACAATATAACCATATAAAGACTATTCATGTGAGCACATTTAAACTAAAGGATTTATACTTTGTTAATTTGATCCACTACTCCACATAGAAAAAAACAGACATGCCAACTAGTTACTGACCTGTTGCAGACACATAGCTGAAGCGGATTGATATCATCTTGGTGGAGTGAGGTTCACGTAAGGTAACGTGAAAATAAGCGGGGAATATGGCAAGCCGTTTTGACTTTTATTCATGCTCAGGATATGAATTCTTGATATCAACAATTCAATTTTTACTAATTAAAATGTTAATTCTTGATATCAGGAATTAGATTTCTACTAGTAACACTTGCTATTTTTGATATCAGCAATTACATTTCCACTAGTAGCAATGTTAATTCTTGATATCAACAATTCAATTTTCACTAGTTAAAATGCTAATTCTTGATATCAGGAATTACATTTCAACTAGTGAAAACTATCATTCTTGATATCTGTAATTGTATTTTCACTAGTTAAATGTCACCATAGGCTGCCATTCAAAATCAATTGTTGATATCAAGAATTAATTTCTTACAAGTTGAAATTCCAATTTCACATATCAGAAATAAAATTCTTACTAGTAAAAACCTTTATTTTTTATATCAGTAATCACATGGTTACTAGTACAGGCGTCTATTCTTGATATCAACAATTTAATTCTTGATATCAACAATTTAATTGTCACTAGTGACAATGTTCATTTCTGATATCATGAATGTGATTGTTACTAGTAACAAAAGTCATTTTAGATATCAGAAATTACCCTCCCAATTGTTGATATCAGAAATACATTTTAAAATATCAGAAATGAACATTGTCACTAGTGACAATTAAATTGCTGATATCAAAAATAGCAAGTGTTACTAGTAGAAATCTAATTCCTGATATCAATAATTAACATTTTAACTAGTAAAAATGTAATTGTTGATATCAAGAATTCATATCCTGAGAATGACTAAAAGTCAAGACGGCTTGCCATAGGGGCAGTCTCAAAACTGCCCCAATGGCTCTCAATTAGAGCGCGCTGCAGTTCCCCTTTTCACCACAGATTTACATTGCAAAATTGTGGGGCGCTGTTGAGCTCGGTAAGGCTCAGGCACCATCTGCCCCGCTTAGTATCATGTATACATGCCTGCTAAAGCCATGCGCAGGATTTTAATATATACTGCTTACTTTACGACTTAAAATAGTCTAGAAAATCTGAAAAATATTTGTTGCAGAATGCTGAACACATTTACAAAAATTGTCTCATTTTAATATATTTTTTTATTTATTTTAATATATACTGCGTACTTTTTTTACTTAAAACAGTATCGAAAATCTGAAAAATATTTGTTGCAGAATGCTGAACACATTTACAATTTATAATTGTTTCAGTTTATATAGAGGTCTATGTTGTGGATGAATATTTTGGTGGGGCTCTGCTAGGGGTGTGCGATATATATCGCATTTAGTGTGTTTTCTTTCACTGCATGATTCAGTTCAAGACATGATGGCAGAAAATGTATATATTTATACCACTACATATAGTTATTCAATTTCACACGAAGAGTGCCGTTTTTCTCCAAAAATTACCATGATTACAAATGTGACATTGAATTCAATAAACAATAAGTTAATTAAGAGACTTACGTTTTAGACACCATATTGCTTGTTTTTGCTCTATTTCGCCAACAAAAATCAAATCATACAGCCACAGTGCTGTTTTGTGTCTCTGAGCAACGTGACAGTGTTTCGTTCCTGAATGAATCAACCGTTTAAATGATTCGGTTCAATCGCAATGACTCACTTATTA